TTGGCTGTGAAATTTTGGTGAATCACCTGATAGGCTAATAGTAATTTTTTTTGTGCACCACCAAACCCTGTCTCACTTGGAGCGCAGGCATATTTTCCTGTTGCAACAGCATCCCCAAACATTTGGTATAATTTCTCCTATAACTCGGGTTCAAGTCCACAAAACTTGAACTTTTTGGTTGTGGGAACCACCTGAATATAAAAAATCATCAAACCATTCAGTTAATATGAAAAAAAAATGAAATGACTCAAATTAAACTGGTTAAAAAATTCCTTACTGCAAGTCTTTCCGTCCACCACTCTTCTGGAGCATCAATGGTACGCTTCACCGGCTCTCAACCCAAACCCATTGAGCCTCTTTTCAAATCCTTACAAATTTTCCAATCCTTCTTCAATTGATCCCACTTGTTTTTCATTTGCAGCCTATTGTACTCCCTACCTGTACATTCCTTGAAATTCTTAATAATATTCTGCCACTCTTCCTTATTGAACTAAGTGGTCGGTCTATTGCCCAGTTCAATTTCCTTAAGGAAAATGTCGCAGAATATTAATTTTATTTCTTTTTCCCACAGTGCCAGTGCTGACCAAGCTCTTTGGACTTATTGACAATTTTATTACTTCGATAAAACAAAACAATGATCAGAAGTAATAACACAATTTAGAAAATTAGATAGAGTGTGACTTAAATCAAATAATATGAGAAACACCTTGTAATAAGGTTATAAAATACATGAAATGCAAATCATATAAGAATATAACAGAATAGACTGAAAACTAGAGATCTATATTTAGCAAATCTCAATTATCAAAGATTGTCTAGAAACAATAATTATGATTTCAACGATAGCTCAAAATAATTTTCCCAATTTTTTGTAATAATGATGGTGCTCAAACGAAGTCAAACTTGCTTAAATACATATCATTTGACATTCAACAAAGGAAAAGATCACTTCAAAATGTAGAATATATTTTTCATAGTTGACTCAACACCATTTGCTAAATAGGACATTATGTACGCATTGCTACACATGAGCACAAACAAAATGTTCATATACAAAATCATGCTTAGATAATTATAGACATACATATGCATTAAGCTTTTTTAACTAATCAAAAAAAGAACTACATCTTAAAGAGCAAGTTATTAAACATCATAAACGAATCAAAATAAAGAGTAAGTTAACATGCTTATAAGAAAACGCAAACAAGTCAAAATAAAGAGAATACTAACCTATTGAACAAATTTCAAAAGAATAAGACAAACACAAAAACCATAAGATCTATTTGCTATTCACACATGGTAAAATCCTCATTTATAACCCCTAATTTACTTTCGATTGTTAAAGCAAATATTTTTTTCGCAGTTAAAAAAAAAATCAGACAACTGCAATTACTCATAAAAAACTATCTTGATATTCCATAAATATTAATCCTTTGTTAGAGAAGCAGAAAATGCAATGAAGGAAAACAAAAAAAATACTCTACAAGCTTCCTCCGAAGGAATGAGATAGAGAAGTGAAGAGGAAAGCAAGCTTGAGCTAGGAATGTGATAGGAAGAAGTATTCAAAACTTTAAGGAATATGGAATTAACAAGAAAAAAAAAGAAAAAAAAAACATATACCTGCGAGATTGCCGAAGAAGCCGAAGGAGGCCAAGAACGTGGGACGAAGAAGGATTCGGAGCTGTCAAGGGAAGATCGTCGTTTGTTATCCATAAAATGAAGAAGAAACAAAAAAAAAAATATGTATATCTGCAAGATCTCCGAAAAAGAAGAATCTTAGGAAAGGACGGGGGAAGGCAGCGAAGTCCTGAAGGAGGAAACATGGCTGGAGGAAAATTTTTGGTGCGCAGGAGGAGGCAATGGATCTCGGTGCGCACGGCTAGGGCACGGAACACTTCCATGGAAGGGCCATGTGGGAGGGGGCAAAGCGATAATATTCACTTCAGAAAGCGGGCACCTGAGTATAACCCGCGGCCCATCTTTCAGTCGAATTCTTCGACGCCAAGCCGCCACCACCGCGCCAAATGTAAAAATAAAAAAATAAAAAAAAAACGGTCACGGGCCGCAACGGGACAAAAAAGTCGCGCCAAACATACCCTAAGCCACATAGTTTTTAAACTTCCCAGGATTCTTTCGCATAAGAAATTTTAATATCTCCTCATGCTACTTTTCTTTTATTCATGTGTGGTTGGATCTTTTAGCAATGCTAATATATTAAATTCTCACTCTACAGTTCTGAATCTTTTGGCATGCAACAACTTTTAAGTTATTATAATTACCAAATAGTTAATGTAATAAATTCTCAATTAACGTTGGTAGAACTAAAAAATTAACACTTAAACTAAATTGAACTAATTCATTTAAATAATGAAATAAGTTGTTATATAATTTCTAGGATTTAATCGTATTTAACATATGTCTTATCAAACAATATGTGAAGTTTAACCATCTTAACATTGATTAAATTCTAATCAACAAGATTTACTAAATCGCATTTAAATTAAATCCTAAGACTTGCCAAATAGAGCTATATCTCGTTGGAAAACTTTGTAATATAATTTTTTTTTTGGCCTCTTTATTTCTCTTATAATCATTACCACTTATTACAAATTGCAAAAAAAATTATCGAGATTTTCTCATACAGCACAATAAACATATCAAGATGATATAGTTGAATCACAGTTTAATTCGACATAAGAAACCATAAGTTTTTTTAGTTTTTAAAAAACTTCATAGGCCTTTGATCAATATAATTTTGTTATTAATACATTATAAAAATATCAATCGAATTAAACACAAAATATTCGTGCAAAATTTGGCGAACTTTTTTAAATTAAATTCAAAACCATCCAGTCTTCACTTTAAGAAGATTTATTATCAAGCTAAATATATCAACTACACCTGAAGTTGTCCAATCTAAGTTTGAACCAGCTCAAATCAGACACTTATAATATAATTGAAAATTTGAAAATTAAAACTAATTGTCAAACAATCTTTGAATATTGCATGGTTATACTTAAATCAAACATGTTTATGAGAAAAAATTATCAAGCCCAAGTTTAATGAATTTTGAGATTTGTAAGACACTTAATGTTAAATGAACAATAAATGGTCAAAAGAAAGAGCATAGATCATATGATAGAATATTTTAGAGTTTCAGAAAAAAAAAATACTCATAAAACTTATAAATTAAACACCCCTGAAGAAGACCATGACTAACAAGGGGAATGAGTTTTTAAGGGTCTATTTGGAACAGCTTGTGCATTTTATGATAAGCTGCTTATCCTGAAACGCGGCCCGCGGGCCGGCCGCATGGGTCGACCCACGGTCTGTGTTAAGTGTAAAAACCCAAACGCAATTTCAGATAAACTGGTGAAACGCGCGAACCAAACAGTACGACAACATTTTAAAAACGCCGCCCGCACTTATAAGTTGCCCCAAACGGACCCTTAAGTCTAAAGAATTCCATAATTTTACATAATGACCAACATCAATAAATATCACCACCTACAATTATATGATTATTATCGCCTGATTATAATTGCTTGGTTACAAACATCTAATCTAATCATCATCATTTGACATTTATCCTCCCACCATAATCATTTGACCATCATCACTTTGAATGTTATCACCCGATTAATAACTTTATAAAAATAATAAATTACTTAAGAAAATTATGTCTTGTAATTTTTTTTTCTAATTTAATATTTCTCAGGCAAAAACTTTATCTTATCGTACGATTGTTCTTTTTTATCCATCTAAGTGCTTGATATTCATTCAAAACAAAGACGTAAAAATTTATACTAAATTTTTAATATGCAAAAACAGTAAGACATAATTTATATTGCCTTTAAATGAGAGTTGAAAAGAAAAAAAATATATTTAACTAATAATTTCTTTTGAAACTAAACAGTAATGATGCTATATAACTAATAAAACATTTTAATAAAATATTCCAAGTCCTCCAGCTTAGTTGTTTTCTTAATTCTACATTAAACTAAGCCATTGAGAACATGGACATCAATTTTTAGTTTTGGCATGCATCAAATGACTATTAATAGGGTATACTAGAAATCAATGGATGATATATGGTCAAGTAATTCTTGCAATTACAAAGGGCGGATATTTGATCTTAGCCATTGATAAAGATCATTGCCAATACAGCATGTTAAAAGTCAAATGATGATCAATAATAATCTAACCCATTATGATTAGAAAGGAAATCAAGCATCGCACACACATTGCTAGAAAACTTCAGACATTATTCATTGGTGGACCAAGAATGCAGCCGAGGGATGTTAATTATCGCTTGTTTGCTTAAAATCTTGCCTATATAGAAATATGGGCTGAAAAAAGAGAGATGCAAATTTTATATGGTTATACTCAGCTAACCTTATATAATGTCTCCTATTTGAAAGATTATTAACAAACAAAGCCACACCATATAAAACCATCGAAACCGAAGAAATCCGGCGAAGAGTGAGGACCTGCTGTTCAAATCAATTTACAAAATATATAGATCTGCAATCCAATGTCATTATTGTGTATGAATTTTTTTTTCTCACACTTCCATTACAATCAAACAAAAGAATTCCAACAAAAGATGTCGATCTTCCATGCCGTCATATGTGGTTGGATAAGCAGCTGTACTGGGAATAAATATGCTTGTGTACAGTAATATTTGCTTAAACTGAAGCTTACTGATTTGAATTTGATGTACTCTTCCATAAAGTTGGGTATTTTGTTATTGTTGACCTCATCTGAATGACCATTGTATTTCCTCAAGTGTTTTTCCCTTGGTTTCTGGCACCCAAGTGATCACAAACGCCAGACTCAGTACAGACACCAGTGCATAAATTGCGAATGTTCCTATCATAGGTAAATCAGAGTCATATTAAAAGCTAAACCAGATAAGAGGAAAAAGCAGTTCGGGTGGGGGGGGGGGGGGGATGGGGATACCTCCAGTGCTCCAATTCAAAAGCAAGGTGGCTGTCATTGTGATGATAAAAGCAGTCAACCAATTGGCTAATGTCGCCACACTTCCAGCAAGGCCTTTGATATTGACCGGAAGAATCTGAACAACAAAAACTTTTTATGAATCAATAGTCATTCAATATTATACCTATGTTTTAATCTTTTTCTCTTGTAAATTGTAAGAGTAAGGCGACACTAAAAAAGTCTGGTGAGACAACACGGTATTTTTCAAAAAGTAATAGTATGGGAAACTCTAGTAGAAGCGAAGTGAGACAAAGATATCTGCCATAGAAAAAGTCTGGGAAGACGTAGATAACCACTTTTCATATTAACTGCCAAACTAGAAGAAATGAAGAAATTGCAGAAACCATATTTATTAAATTACTCCTACCTAATTATTAGTGTATTTATCTTCAACAGTTGGAGGTCGTTTCTTGCTCACTACTAGGCATCAAATGGAATGGTTGGATGTTTTCATAATCATTAAGTACAACAAGGAATTGCATTTTCATAAAGTAATGACTATAAATCATTTCTGTGTATGAAGAGAAATACTCAAATACTCCCTTTGAGGCTCGATGTAAGTATTTGATTTATATTTGGTTGTCCGCTTGGGTGACTCTCAAAAGACCCAATAAATTTATTTAGAAGCATTTAATACATGCAACACAATTCTTATGTATTTACATGATTCTCCTAAACTTTCATTTTATTTACTTTTCTAACACGCAAATCTTTTGTATCACATCAAAAACATTACCATCACCTTTAAAAGTGGATTACACCTTTTGACTCATGCATAAATAACGTGACATGAATGGTAAAAATCATTGTTTAGATGGCAGATATGTAAATGCATTTGAATTGGCATGTATTTAAATCTTCCATTTATTTATTATGTTTAGATCTCTATTGTGTTTATTCTCACATTTTAATTTGAATTTTGCAAAAAGTTCCTTTACTATTCTAACTGAATTGCTAGTGAACGTTTCCAAAGGTTGATTAGAAGCATTTACCTTTTTAATGGAAATCACACAATAAGGAGACATGAAGAGAACTGTAAAAATTTATTGATGTATTGGCACGCTAAACCAGATAAGGCTAATAAGCTCTCCCTCTCCCTCTCTTAATGCTATGAGTTGAGTGCCATTGCGTTATTTGAAGAAATAAGCATGCAACAGGCATAGGCTAGTTGAATTAAACAAAAATTCAAATCATTTATGTGACAAACGCTAAAAAATGTCTTCCATGTTTGCATCAAACACATGTAAAACATCACTACGCATGTTAAACCCAATTCTGACTCAAAAGATAAACTGACTTTTACTTTTAAAATATACTCCAATTTTAGATCCCTGAAAATTATACAAACTATCACTACAAGATATGAGCTAATTAGCATCAGAGCTTGCATCAGAACAATTCCGATGGCCACTCCTAGAGTCGGTTTTGTGTCCATTTAACGTCGTTTATGGGCTGTGCACCAAAAAATTTTGATGCACAGTATTAGTGTCATGTTTAGTGTTGTATATAAGTCGAAGCAAAATGTAGCGTCAACATTAACGACATGTTGCTACCATAAAGATTACTCTTAATAGCGTCGAACAAGCTGATGAAAAGTCCAAAGCTAATTTATTTGTGTCTGAGTTGTTCGACTCAAATCCGACCGAGGTACCATAAAATTCTAATCCTGCGCTCCACAACCTCATTCAAGCAGTCCTCTCTCTTCGAATGTAGCTCCAACAATTCATGTTCTCCAAGCCTCTGCGGTGTTTCACAGGCAAACTCGCATTTCCCTCAACTCGTCCATTCCAAGCATAAGTAAACCTTCTCTCATTTTATGAATTTCCCCTTCATTTTTTCTCTGATTTGGATGGCTGAAATGGAGGAATAGATGCATCTTATTGCACGTGATGGAAGAGTACTGCTTAAACTTACAAGAAAATTTTATAAGATGGTGGTAAAATATAAAATGTTTTATGGTGCAGAATGTTGACCTATAAAAGAGAAACATAAAGCTAAATTAAGTGTTGTTGAGATGAGAATGCTTAGGTGGATGAGTGGCTTTACACTCGGGAACAAAATGCAAAACGAATATATATGTAAAAGGGTTGTTATTTCTCCGGTGGCAGACAAGATAAGAGAGACTTGTCTTAGATGGTTTGGTCACATCAAATGTCGACCATTTGATGACCTGATTAAGAGACTAGATGTTTTAGATTCGACCAATGCGAAGAAAGTTAGCAGCAGCGGTAGACATAAAAAGATTTGGGCATATTGTATGAAAAGTGATCTTATTTTATTAAAATTAAATGAAAATATGACACTTAACAAGACACAATAGAGAGAACGGATTCAAGTATATGCATGTGTGATATCAAAACTTTTGATCTTCCTCCAACTAACCATAGTTCTAAGAAAAATTTTTGAGATTGTCATTTGACTCGGAGGGGCTTGTCACGTTCTTTCTGGCAATAGACTTTTAGGTGTGATCATAGGGCTATATTAATATGAAATTAGATTTTTTGGGAGTGTTTGGTTGTCTTTGAATTTGTCACCTTTGACAAGATTTAGCCCTAAAGCAGCTATGAGCATATAGCAATTGTTGTTGCTTTTTGAACAATCTAATATATATAATCTTAAGCATGCACTATCAGAGCTTGTCAAATTGGAAAAGTGATTTAGTTTTGTTGAATTGGTGTTCCTTGGCTAACTTAAGGCTTACTGAACAAGATGATTGTTGGGAATAAAACCATTCTTCTGCCATGTTGAGTCCATCCTAACAATAAGAACATTCATCATTTGTGCATGTTGACCTAGAATTTTTGCACATCATTATTTTTAACGTCAGGGGCATTGTGAACTTGAATGTCTTCTTGCTCAATGATTGATTCTTCTGAGAAGCTAGATATATAATACATATGAAATGTATACAACTGATATCAAAATGTACTAATCTATAAATCTTCATATAGATTGCAGATGAATATTCAAAATTTAAGATTATCGTTGTATAACAAATTCTATCCATGAAAAAAAAGGACTCGCTCATGAATTCTTGAACGGTTTTGAGAAATTCATGTAAATGGCATCCCAACTAATTATTTATCTTTTAGAAAGTATATTTGGATGTCCTTGCGCCAAGCATAAAAATTAAGTGTACCTAACAACTGAGTAAGTCAAGTTGAATCTATACTGTAAGGGATTTAAACCCAGTAGTTGGTCCTAGACTGCACATGGTGTGTACGAACGAGATGTTAAGCATAATCATATCTGTGTCTCATCAAGTTATGCTCCTCTAATGGAATACAATCCTGACAGATACAAAAAATGATTCATGATGCACACAGAGATCATTTTGTTAGGAGAGTTCCTAATGATGATCAGGCACCGAACTGTGAAAAATAACAATTTTATGATTTACTAAATGTTGCACAACTGTTTTGGGAATGCTACACTATGCATATGAAACTATGGATGACGCTGAGAATTTTGAGCATCAAATCTAATTTGAACATGCCTAAAAAATGTTTCAATTAGATGGCAGTATTATTAAAGAAGACGAAATCTACAGAGAATTTAGTTCATGATGACTTGTATAGGGCAAAAAATTTAGAGCCAAAGTTAGTGTCACTATCTAAGAAGATAAATTAATATGTTAATGGTTGCATATTATATTACAGGGTTAATGCATTGGAGACGAAATTTAGATTTCACGGCACTAATAGATTCAAAGCAAAGAGGAAAAATAGTAAAAATCAGAAAAATATTTTATACGAACATCTCTTCTCTTGTCGTTCATGCCCTAGCTTCAGAGATTGTTCATTTCTATATGTACAGCTCCTCACATGACATGGCACAGTACTGGATTTATTGATATAATAATTTTATGAGTCACCCGTTAAATGGTAAAACCTTGAGAAATTTCTACAGTAGTTATTCTGACTTTACAACTGAACCAAGCAATAATAGACTTAACTTATGTGCAGATGGGTTCATCCCGTACAATCAAGTCTTAACACTGTATTCATGTTTACCATTTATTATTACGTCATATAATTTACTCCCTCATATGTGTATAACGTCGTTTTTGTTTCTGACGTTGATCATATCAGGTCTACATGGCCTAAAAGAAAAAGTTGACGTCTACTTACAGTCTCTAATAGATGAGCTTCAAATATTATAAGAAAAATGTGTACTAACTTATGATATCGCTAGGAAATAGAATTTTTAATTGAAAGTTGCTTTTATGTGAACTATTAGTGATTTCTCAGCTTATGAGATGCTATTTGGTTGGAGCACAGCTGAGCAATTGGCTTGTCCTTGCGGCATGGATATGTTCACTGTATTTCACTTTAAAGCATAGAAAAAAATCTCGATTTGATTGTCATCAAATATTTTTATCCAACAATCACCCATTGAGAATAAATAAACACGTCTATTTAAAAAATTAAATTGAAAAATCAAATCCAACCCCGATAATAACTAGGGCCAATTTATGACAAACGATCAGTAAAATACCAAAGATCACTGAGAAACCTGAACTAGGTTCAAATCATCTTCCTTAGTTCGGTGTTAGACATAACTGAACAAAGCAGAATATTTTTTTGGATATTCCATATTGGAGGACTCATTTGATTAGACATAATCTCGATAATATACATATTAAAAAAAATTTTATAATACCTTCAAAAGTGTGATGGATATTAAGAGTAAAGCAAAAGATGACGCGAAAGCAAGATTGGACCGGAATGAGTACTGTTAGAGGAGAGGTTTAAATATTTTGAAGGAAAATACAGGTTAAACTAATAAAATCCAAAACTATGTATTGTCTCATATTGGACCAACGACGAACAATATTTGAATAGATACATTCTCTGAAATTTCTTAATGGATGTGTATGAAACTTGAGTCGCTGTGTTGACTTGGGATTTGGGCATGGGGAAGATATTCGACAAGAAGAGTCATGACTGTCATATTTTTTTACGGTGCTTACTACCATCTTCATTTATTGTCCTGTCAAAGCCGATACTTGATCCATTGATCGAAATCAATACATCCTTCAGGAGGTTGTACACGGGGAATCTGAATGTTGATTCATTGAGAAATCATATCATGAATACTCCCTTATTATTATGCAAGCTCGAGCGGATAATTTCCCCTAATTTTTTTTACTCAAAGGAGCATCTATTAGATACATTTATATTATGAGACTATACTGAGGAGTCAAGTGCAGTACAGATGAATGTATCCTTTTGAGATGTATGACTTCTTAATGTGTACACTCACAACTTGCATTTTATTTTAGACTAATCTATAACCATAATTATTCAAAAATGTCTTCATTTTGCAGAATTTTAAATAAAATAAAAAAAAACATTAAGAATAAAGCATATCCGGAGGGACTTGATATGCAAGACATACTTGCTGCAATAAACAACAACTTTCTATTCGTACTATTTCAAGCAAGGGCAACAAATATATCAAATTGTTAGTGACATGTCTTCACAATCATAACTATTTGTATTTTAAATATTAGGAGAATAATCATGGAGGCATGGTACACATTACCTCAATAATAAAGTGCTTCGAGCAGCGACGAATTACAAACATTTATAGATAAGATTTCTAGTAATAAAAATTATTCTTAATTATTATTAAGAATGTTATACTAATTTATTCCAACATACAAATAACAATAATATGAGAAGGTTATTTACCGACAATTTGAACATAGGGGGTAACTCTCTAATAGACAATAAAATTGAAAGAAAATTTCGACATGGTTTAAATTATATGTACGTCAAAGTAACTCTTCGATTCACTATTATGTAATATAAATTTCAAGTTCAAAGCAAAGGTAATTATAATTTGTAACTTCTAATAAGTACATAATACAAGAAAAAGAATTACGAATCAGAGCTTACTAGATTATGCTTCGAGCCTAATTACAGTGTCACCATATGACAAATATTTGATGTGAGATTTCACATAAATTTTTTTGATGTGAATGGAATAATGCGTATAATTGTGGCGTTTGTGTTAGAGGAAACACACAATCAGATAGTAAGACCAATTATTATGACATATTTGAAGAAGTGGTTCAATTAAAATATTTGAATCTTATTACACGCAATGTATTTATGTTCAATTGTGAGTGGTTTGATCTTTGTTCTTAATCGAGGAACACAAATACTAAACTCTTATGATATTACCAAAATCAAAATGAACAGATGTAAAGTTTGATCCAATTTATCTTAGCATGTTAAGTTAGTCAGGTTTATTACCTTCAATACCTTGAAAGAGCAAGCGCTAAACTTGATTGGGCTATCGTTACGAAGAATAAACTAAGAAAAACTATTGAGATGCAAACTATTATTGAAATCATTCACCAAGAGCAAGGTATGTCAGATTTTTGCATTCAACTTGATTCAATCGAAAAAAGTTTACCCTAAAGGATACCACGAGAATTTATAAAGTTTCCAAAATATAAATGATAATGATGATGATGATGATATTGAAGAAAACATTTTAAGTTCATCATCGACTGACTCGTCAAATGAAACAGTATAAAAATGGTTTGTATGTTTAGATGGTTAATTTCTTTTGTTGATTTTACTTTTATTATATTTAGATGTTACTGCATGCTTCTTGTTTTGATTATGCATCTTTCTGTTTTTACCTTTTATTGCTTATATTATGCTTCTTGTTTACTTTTTGTTCTTTTTAGACAGTTACGATGTATTTCCTATTTTAATTCTACAAATTCCTGCTTTTACTTGTGTTGCTTATATTAGATTTCTCTTGATTAGTTTTGCTTTAAATATTAATTTTATCAATATATTTTTTCAAGTTACAAATGACACCACTTGAACGACGTCATAGGGTCACTTCAAAGAATACATATAAGAGGATGATGATGGTCGTGTGTCGCTCTGACAAACACAACACTACTCTGTATTGGTCACAAGCACCACCGCCATTACAGCTCCTCTTGTACAATCTAGAGTTGCTCAAATTAGACTTGTTAGTCTTGTATCTAGAATTTGCGTTGAAATATGAAAAAAAAAATTTGCAGTTCTTTGCAGCAGATATAGTGAAATTACTGTAGCTACATTAACCTTACTGCTGTTACATTGAAATGAAAAATTAAAAACTCATAAAAGCATTAAGAATCATAAAATAATCAAATTTCACTGTATTGGCTACCTCACTAGCTACAGTAACAAAAAAAAACTCATAAAATTTCATTGTATCTACACTCTACAGTAACAAAAAAACACAAAAGCATAAAAAAATAGAAAACCTCACTGGTTGCGTCGCTGCAGGAGAAACAATGCCGCTGCGGGAGAAGACAACGCTGACGAACGTAATCCAAGCGTGCGTGACAGAGCCTGCATGCAAGGGCCCGCGTGCGAGACGAAGATCGCTTACGTGCGAGAACAAGTGAGACAAAGCAGACAAGCATGCTACGGAATTTTCTGTGGGTGCGGTGCGAGGAACGAAGCAGACGACGGCAGAATCCTCTTCGACTCTGCATGCGATGGAGGAAGTTGTGTCTGTAGGGGATGATTGCGTGCGGGAGAAGCTCGAATGAGATAGGTATTTAAAATTAGAGATTTTTTACCCTTTTTATTCGATTAGGAGGCGAGGCGTACATCCCGTGAGGCGTGTACTGCACTCCGGTTGTATTCGCGCGTAAGCCCCGCTCGATTTACGCCACCCTCGTGGGCTTGGGCCGGAAGACACCTTTAGCCCCGCCACAAAGCAGGCCCCGAGCACATCCCAAAACAGAGGGCGCCGCGTCCACATTGGAGGCCTGGTCCTCCGCTCTTATTGGTAAGATTCTCTAAATATTTAAAAATTAAATGATTGATGTAATTATGAGGTACTTATCATTTTCTTATGTACATAGGCTAAGGAGCTTGACCAGCCGACCACCATTACAATGTAGCATGTTCAGAAGTATCGACACCTACAACGCAATATTGGGTCTCTAAACTCTCTCGGCAAGTCAATGTAAGTAAAAAAAAAATTGATTTTTTATATATTTTTTACTATTAATGTTAGAAATGACACTTAATCTTTAGTTTTATTTATATAGGAGTACGAGAAGTTTCGTGAGAGAGAGAATTGGCGAGCCAAAGTCTGACATCCACTAGCAGCAGTGATAGCCAGTCTACCATTGCATCGTCTGATTTTGAACTATTGACGCAGATAGCAGAAAAACAGGGAATGGTCAACGACTTGGGCATGAAGGGAATAGCATTTGAGGTAGAGCACTTTCGTGCTTAGATGGGTGGTTCGAGCTCGTTGCAATCGGAGCATGAAGAGCCACCCGACAGGCCAGTGTTACAAGTAAAGAGATCTGTCAGATGTGTGAAAACCAGCAAAAAGTTAAGGAGACTCTAGCATGCCCGATGAAAAGTAATATAATCATCCGAGCAAGCTTCATATGAGTTATGTGGATAAGGAGAGAAAGAGGAGGTTGATTAAGAGTTTGATGACATTCCTCCACCATGGGGTATTGTATTTTCTTTGTGAAGTGAACATTTATTCTATATATAGATGTAAGGTTTTGTGCACAGAATCGTATTTGTTACATTATGTATGTAATTATTATTTGAATTTGTTGGCGATGTAGCTTCTCAGTTATAATGGTACTTATTTGTGATATGGATTTGTTTTGCGCATGTTGTAAAAATCTGATTGTTCTTTAACATTATTTTAAAATTTGTTGCATATTTGCATCAAACATACAATAAAATTTCCAACGCTAATTGCTACGTTTTTTCACTGCTATTAGATACATTTTGATTTTAATAGAGAATCTCTGGCAAACTACATCAACGCAGATAAGCAAGCTAATTTGTGTTTATCATATTTCAACGCAAATTCTAACATTAAAGTTGCGTCGGAGTGGTCCGTGCCTAATTTCATTAATGTCCGTGCTTACAGACATTTATTCCAAGGCAAGTTACTTACGTCAGACATTTTTGACGCTAATGGCATTATTAGTCTTGATTTTAGCATTGACCACAATAATGAAGCAAATCCGACGCAAATCAAATTAGTAGCAGAATATCCCTATATTAATGTTGGATTCGTAAATAGACATAGATATGAATTTTTAATATATTTGATTTTATACAATTAATTTATAAATTAATTAAATTTACTTTTAATAACATTATTAATTTGTTTAATCATCGCTTCCATATTTCTTGCAATAATTTCATTCTCCACAAGCAACACAATGGCAAGATCAATATAAAGGGTTGGGATTTATTAATTCAAAAAAGAAAAAATATGTTTTAAATTGAGAGGAAATTGTTTCAAGATAAAAACTTAATTTATTCAAAATTTAAAGGGCCTTTTTAGTCATAAAAAAGCAATTTTTTGAAATACAAATTGTTAATATTATCTATCACATTGGATTTTTTTTTTAATTAAAGTGATGGTTTGCAAATAAATTATTGTTAAATAATAAATGTAAATGAAAATAATTAATAATAGATAAAAATGATTTAGAAAGTATCATGTCTGTTGTGATAAGTAGACAACTATATTGATGACTTGCACATAAAACTCAAGAGTTCTAACAAGAGGAGCCTCATAAAGGTGACAAATGAATTCCTGACTTTTAATATTACGATTGGAGTAGATCAACTGGTATCGAGGGGCAATGATAAAGCATGACATTACGATGACCAACATTTATTAATAACTATTATGAGTGAAAAGTTGTGTGATGACTCCATGCAATGAAATATATTAAACCTAAACAACTATAATATGATACTTTTAAGAAAAAAATAAAAAAATAAGAGTAAAAAAAAATTAAAATAAATGCAAATATTGACATTGAATAAAACGATGATTAATAGCAATTTTTATTATTTTTTACCACTCGCATATTAATGATATCTTTTGTACATATAGGTATTGAAGTACTTTTATTTATCATATTGTTGTTACTCATCAATCACAGATAATCATGCATGCTCTTTTTTTTTATAAGTTTGGATTTTATTTTAGCATTAATTATCTCATTGGGCGTATGATTTATCAGATAAAATTATACCAATGTACGAAGTGCACCGTTTTATCCAATCTTATTTTTGCATTCATAGAGAATAACTGAATTCCAACTTGTTCCTCCAAAATATGCAAAGACTATATTGCACAAACATTTCTAATTAAAGATTCGTAAAGTGTCCGACAAGTATCAGACGCAAACACAACTCGACGTGGATCCGACATGGCTCGACCACGACTTTGACTCTTGTCGGACACAAGATAGAAGTATCTCATTTAAATAATATTAAAAGAAAAGAACACGCACAACACATGCGTGTTCTAAATTAATGAATTAAAAATTTCACTAAAAAATCTTTATGCCTATAATTAAAAAAATATAATTTAATTTAAAACTTGAGAAAGAATATATCAATCAATTTTTATGTATATAAATATCTAACACATGAATTTCAATTTTTACTTACATGTTTCCTTACATATATACAAAAAATGCATAGCTTACATGTCACCTTATATATAAAAAATGCATATTTTAAAATTGAAACAGTCGTATGTTAGAGGTGATATGGAGGCTTTGTGTGGCATTAAAAAATAAAGCAAAAGTTAGGTGCTGGATATATAAATGCATAAGAATGGGGTGCCAAGTAAGCATGTGTTCATTTTATTTCTTTTAATGAATAATTGATTAAGAAGATTTAAATATTGAAGCAATACAAATTAAAAATATGCTTACTTCTATACATTTTGATTATTTTAAAATATAATTTAATATATTTTTAAAGATAAAAAATAAGATATATACTAATTATATCAGCTAAAATGAGAAACAAAAGAGAAGTCAAACAAGATCTTAGTTTTAAGTAGTGCTAATAATTTTTTTATTTTCTCTTTTGTATTATTCTTAATGTTTTATTTATTTATTTATTTTTATATTTAATAATCTTTTTATAATGACAAGTCCAAGGTATGTCTGTGTCCTATATTTCCGCTAATAGCATGTCTCGTGCTCGTATCGTGTCTATGCCCCTGTATTTGTATCTATACAACAATGGCTACATGCAACTAAGTCATTGCTCCAAACTAGCTCTCTAAAATCTAATTTCCACAAAAATTAAAAGTTTTTCTCCATAAAATATCATCACATTCAAGAATATATTTCTTTTCAAATGAAATTAAGTACGTTTAAAGAGTTGTTCAAGAGAACTATTTTCATATAGATATTTTTTAACAGTACAAAAATTGCCAATTTGGAAAAATGGTTGCCTAAAAAACAAAATGTCGCCACTTCAACAAGAAAAAATACTTTCAATAAGAAATTGCTTTCTGAAAAATATTATATAGTGAACAAAACTTAAACTTTCTATCGATGCATGGCAGTTTATTTTCTTAGACTATAACAATAATAAAAAAAGAATTCCATGCTCCCAGTTTTAAGATTAACAGATATTTAGTAAATGTATAATGCAAGTGCAATCTATAATCATGACAGTAAAATTAGGGATGAACCATGTACTCATTAATTTGGCTTTCCATGAAAATTGAAGTAATATATACAAACTACAACAAATCTAAAAAATCTACATCTTAACTGGATCAACAGATGGTTGACGTTTAAAAATGATAGAAAATAATTTTTAATGACTGCAAATTATGTCTTAGTTGGTATGAATATTCAGCACATATAAAAATAAAAATGATAGAAGATAATAATTTTTAAATGGAAAACTTTAAAAAAGAAGGAAAAGCTATAAAGATTGATCCAATCAAAAAAATCTATGATTTAACTAAAATTACAAAATTCTGCTCTTCGTTTATTAGAGAAGATATGCTTGTCTATTAACATGAGGCAATTTTATGTGTTTTCCCTGCATTTAATTCTATATTTTCATCCATATTTATCATAATTTTACACTTAAAAAAGTATTTTGTTGTATTTTGCAGGGTACAAATGCTTAAACCACTAGAGGATGAAAAGGAGACAATTTAGGCAGCCACACGAGACAAAAATGGAGATCCTAGTCTAACGCACCTGCTTTCAAATATGGCTCCCTCTCTCCTAAATCTAGATAAGTCGAAAAACCCACGCCAAAAGCAAGCACACCAACACCCGCATTCAGTGCACCCGCACCTACACATCGTGTGACCGTGCTCAAATTGCAACGCGCCCTGATCCGCCCAAGAGATTATCACAATAATGTAAGACCTAGTAATGACACCAGAAATTTGATTCGATTCCTAACAAATAAATTAAGTTAATAAAATTAGATACTATTACTCACCAGGGTTTCTCACGCAAGTATACATATTGTTTCAGTAATATAGGGCTCTAATAAGTCTGGATTGTCGATCCCACAAAGAAGTGAGGTAGTTAAATTCCTTAGGAGAAATTCTAGTCTACTACTTTCAGGTCCTAGTTTGGAAGGTTGATAAAGGGTGATTTTCTAACTATTCTTAAGTTAAGATTCTATGACTAAGTGAAACCTACCTAGGTCAATTGATTAGGTGAAATTCAATATTGATAAAAGTAATTTTCTCTTGTGATTTACTAGGTAGATTGTAAGTATGACAACTAGGAATTGTAATTTATGCAATGACAAATAGGAGCATAAATCTATTTATCCTTTGTTGAGCGCGTAAATAAATATAGTTCACATTTGGTTCTGATTCTAATTGTCACCCTTGAAACTCCATGTTCAAACTCTATCAGCACATCTTCTATATTTGAATTGCCTCCTGACTACTTCACAATAGCCTATCGGATAATGTGAATATTCTAGTTGTTTCACCACCGCTCTTCTTAATGGGTCA